GCTTTAGCTTATAAAACCCAAAAAGATAAATTATGCACTTTGTATATTAAACCCATTCACCCACGCTTTTGAATATATGCAAGTTTTAATTCTCCCTGAGCACATACCTCCTTGGCAACACAGGGAGACACATCTTTGGGAAGATTTCTTTTTTGGTGGCTTCTTCCATTCAGCTGTGCTAGAGGATACAGTTGGAAAGCTGGAACTATAATTTTACCGAACGGTTTTTCAGCATGCTAGAACTTAAGGTCAGGTTGTTAAGATTTCCTTTTGCCTAATATACTACAAGCTGACCTTGAGTAGGACTGGGAATTAGTCTGCTTTTTATGGGAGATTTATGAAGGAGAGTCAACTTTCAGAAAACACACTTTTTTGTACACTAGAATTTTGTTTGCTTACCTTATCTCTAGGTATTAGAGGCAGAAAAGATGGATTATTTTCCTTTACCTCAGGAGGAAATGATTCTATGAGAATTCCCTCGTTTAGTTTCCTATTGTAGTAGATTATATACAGCCAAACATAACTATGTATTAGAAATACAACTAATTGAATTTGAGTAATTGGACTGATAGGTAGTGGTCAAGTAATACAGAAGTTACATTTCTCTTTATGATCTTTTTACTTTATATTAAAAATCCACCAGGTATATCCACTGCAAAGTTTTTGTTGTAGTTCAGGATTACTGTTGTCAGATAATGCCTGTTGCTTCACTAGCTGTGCATGAGCAAGTGAAATCCAGCATTATTGCTAGAACCCTCTCTTTTGCATATGGGTCAAGTGTTCCATCTTTTTTTTTTTTTTCTGATGCTTTGTGAGGCTTATGGTTTAACCTTTGCATTTCTAACAGGGAATTATCAAGAATCTCTAGTTTATGTCCAAAAAAAGGATAGTAGAAAATTAAAGATTTTGCCATGGAAAAATACCACTCCAGTGAGCTGGAAAGAAGTCATCATTTGAGTAGCTCAAACAACAGAGTTACCCTGTTATAGTGACTGAAATTGTTTCTCATTTGAAGTGGTCTTTTAAACAGTCAAAAGCTGGTTTTTAAAATTGACAGCTCCCAGGTGGTGCAGCTGAAGGGCTACATTTAATAACTTGCCCTGGTTAACAGGAACAGTGGTAAGTGCTGATAGACGTGTTAATGTACATTAAAGCAAACCAAAGAAGCAGAACTCCCACACACTCCAAAACCTAAAACCTTTCACTGCTCTTGTAGCAATCAAATCCTTGACAGAGAGCACAAAATAAATCAATAGTTCCTACTTTCCTTAAACGTTGTCACTTATTCCTGCTTGTTTTCAGTAGTTCTTGTTAAAAGAGCTACATCCTTTTAGATAAAAAGGATCTCTTGATGACAAGCATCCTATGAACTGCACAACCTCTCAAGTCATCCCAGAGCAGGTTCATTACATATCTGTGGCTCTCATCTTCTGCAAGATGACATGTTTTGCAGACTTTGTCTCGTTTACAGCACCTGTGAATCTCTGAAGTTTTTGTGGAAGCTTCCTGCTGTTGATGACCACAACAGTGAGTTTGATTTGTTCCAAAGCTAGCTGATATGGAAGTTGTCCTACTAAAGATTATTGTCTTTCTTGGCAGCAGCTTGGCAGGCCATTCTCCATCTCACTCCTCTTGAAAGACCAAACTTTGTGATGATAAGCGCTAGAGGATAATAATAGGCCTAATGGATAAGTCTGTAAATTATGTGCTTCAAGGGCCTGCCGGTTTTCCTGCCCTAATGTATTTTCTAAACTGTGTTCTGACTGTGTTCTAAATACAGGCAGTTTAGTGGCAACAAGAATTGGCTTAGTGGTTTATTCAGATTACTGGATTGCTAGAGAGACCTGTGTCTATTTACATGAAGCAAAGAGTGAGCATTACCAGATGGGCTGTGATAGTTGAGGAGGAGGAAGAAGGGCCAGTTCTTTACAGGTTATTGCTTTAAGGTGGCCACTTTGGATTTCCAGCTATATTCTGTAAGGTATTAGAAAGCTATTAGAGCTTGAATTCGTTAGATACGATTGCCCTTACAAGCTGATTTGAAGTGCTAGTTTCGTCCATCAGCATGTGGCTGAATATGAGGAAGACGAATCTGTCATATCCAATGACTCATTTCCTGGAGCAGAACACCGAGTTTAGAATTTTTATATCGGCATTTCTCAGTGGAGAGAATTCTGCAGCTTCAGTTCTCTGCTGGTATCATTCCTTCATGTTCCCACTGCTGTTTATCTTGCTCAGATCTTCAGTGTCTTGATTAAATATCACTGGACTGTACAAGAACCTGCATTTGTTCCTTTCTTTGTGATTTCAGAAGTCTGCAAGAGTGAGATTTAAGTTTTGCCAACAAACTCTTTCTAGAAGATTGCAAGCCACCAGATTATGGGCCTGTAATTCTTCCTATTATTTTGAGCATGCGACAGCAGCACTCTGGAGTGCTTTCTAACTTTCTAACAGGAAGAATAACCTGTTGTTTAAAGTGGTTGTCTCACTCGAGCTTTAGCAAGTATTTGTAGGTTGATCTGGAAAGATTTTGGCAAAGAATCCTGCATGTTTGGATCAGAAAATACGTTGCTTATCTTCATCCCCCAATTATTAATGCCAGCAATTGAAATACAAATCATTTACACTGAACATTTACAGATAAATTCAGTGTCTTACTGTTAGGAAGCACAAGAGAGCGTTAGACTAATTTATTTTTCTCCCTAAATTATAGGGTTTGATCGTGGTCTTTCTTTTAGTAGTTAAAATATGTGTCAAATATCCTGTGTGCACTTTTAATCCAGATTGTACCATCACCTTTTGCATACCAGCAGCAATTCATTCCATACCTCTGCTGTCTCCTTAAAGGATTATCCTGCTATTCTCTGTGGAATTTTTAAAGGCTTCCGTTTATCATCCTTAAAAAGCTATAGGATGCCAAACAGCAGATGACTTAAATAAGCACAAGCAGTCTGTACAAGAGATCTGGCTTTTCAGTAATCATCTTGAGTTACTTTTTACAAGTCGTTTTGCCTGTTTCTGATTCTGTTTCACTTTCCATCTCATGTACCTTTCAGCTCATTTGAGAAGGGATTTGGACATGTGTACATTTACCACCTAGAAAAGTGGACCAACTTTACTTAGTTTTGCTTTAGTGTATCATTTCATAATCTATTTTTAGCACATTGTTGATGCCAAAAGTCCTGCATATGTGTCTTTCAGTGTCTCTTCTTGTGCTTGTTAAGAGCCATCCAATTCAAGCTGCAATACTCGCATAAGGGTGATTTTCAGGCAGAAAAAGAAAATATTCTGAAACATTACTAACTTGTGAGTTTTTGCAAATTTTTTATTTCTTCAGATTGGTTCATGAGTTGAATCATAGAATCATATATTCATTTAGGTTGGAAAAGGCCTTTAAGATTGAGTCCAACTGTTAACCTAACTACCACATCCACTACTAAACCATATCTACATGACTTAAACACATCTAGGGACGATGATTCCAGCACTTCACTGGGCAGCCTGTTCCAGGGCTTGACAACCCTTTCAGTGAAGAAATTTTTCTGAATATCCAACCTAAACCTCCCCTGTCACAACTTGAGGCCATTTACTCTTGTCCTATTACTTGATACTTTTGAGAAGAGAGTGGCACCCACCTCTCTACAACCTCCTTTCAGGTAGTTGTAGGGAGGGTTAAAGTCTCCCCTGAGCCTCCTTTTCTTTGGCTAAATAGCCCCAGGTCCCTTAGCTGCTCCTCATAAGACTTGTGCTCTGGGCCCTTCACCAGCTTCATTGCCCTTCTCTGGACATGCTCCAGCCACTCAATGTCCTTCTTGAATTGAGGTGCCCAAAACTGAACACGGTACTTGAGGTGCAGCTTCACCAGTTCCAAGTCCAGGGGGAAGATCAATAGTCCTGCTGGACACATTATTTTTGATACAAGCCAGGATGCCGTTGGCCCTCTTGGCCACCTAGACACACTGTTGGCTCATCTTCAGGTATTGATCAACATCCCCAGATCCCTTTCTGCCAGGCAGTTTCCAGTCACTCTTCCCCAAGCCTGGAGTGTTGCCTGGGGTTGTTATGGCCCAAGAGCTGCACCCAGCACTTGGCTTTGTTGAACATCATTGCATTGACTTTAGCCCATCAATCCAACCTTTCCAGGTCCCCCTGAAGTGCCTTTCTACCCTCAAACAGATCAACAGTTCAGCCCATCTTGGTGTCATCTGCAGTCTTACTGAGTGTGCACTCAATCCCCTCATCCAGATCATTGGTATCAAAAAGAACTGGCTCCAGTGCCAAGGCCCGGGGAACACCGCCTGTGACCAGCCATCATCTGGATTTACCTCTATTCACCACCACTCTTTGGAGCTGGCCATCCAGCCAGTGTCTTACAGAGCAGAGCACACACCTCTCTAAGCCATGAGCAGCCAATTTTTTCATGAGAATGCTGTGGGAAACAGTGTCAAAGGTTTTACTGAAGTCCAGGTAGTCAGCATGCACAGCCTTTCCCTCATCCACTGAGCAAGTCATCTTGTTATAGAAGGAGATCAGGTTAGCCAAGCAGGACCTGCCTTTCATGAACCCATGCTGACTGGGCCTGATCCCTTGGTTGTCCTGTATTTGGTGCGTAATAGCGCTCAGGATCTTTTGCTCCATAATCTTCTCTGGCACCAAGGTCAGACTGACAGGTCTGTAAGTTCCCTGGATCCTTCTTCCAGCCCTTCTTATAGATGAGTGTCACAATGAGTTGAGAATATGATTAATCAAGTACTCAGGCTACAAACCAGTATTTTCAGTCTGAGAGCCAGTAAAAAGCTTTTGTCCACTCCAATGGGAAGATGACAGCAACACAGTGATTCATGTATCTAATATACTGCAGCCCTGTGTCGGGAGTAGGCAGACGAAATAAAAACTCTCCAAGACTAAGAAAAAAAACTCTCCAAGAGCTACCTGGAGAGTAGTCTTTTGCTTAGTGATGGTGTTTTAATGATTTTCAAATTAATGATTAAACTTTCTAGTGTAAGAGTCTCTCTTCAGAAGAGGACTCTGTGTTAGAATGAAGATAACTTAATTCCAGAGAAACAGTCTTGCTGCTAGATTATTTTGAAATGAAAGGCAGAGCGTGTTTTTGCCCTAGCCTTTCCTTTGTAAGAAAACTTCTCAAAAAAAGCCAAAGGGAAGGGTAATTTCTCACACAAATGTGCACAAAACCCCCCAACGTTCCAGCAACTGTCTGGAGAGGAGGATGAAACGTGCTCTGATGTTGAACCCCTTCTGCTGTTAGCTCATTTTTGAGAGACGCTTTGACACTATAATATAGGGTTGCAAATTGGAATTGCAACACCCTGCTATTGGGCCAAGTGATGAAGCAGCACAATAACTGCTTGCTTGATCTTACCAGTCTTTCTTTCATGTGTATGTAAAAGATATTGGGAGCCTTTCCAAGCATCTGTCAGGGGATTTGATGCTGTTAGGTATGGAACTTCAGTCTGTGTGTGGTTAGTGTGTATGTGTGTGAATGTTTTACTAGTATTTTATATAGTGTAGTGACTACAGGGCAAAGCTTCAGGTTTTATAACAGTTGGGTTTTGTTTATTATTAAAAGCTTATAAAAATACTAATTAAACTTGTGGATTACTACAGACAATACAGTTCTTATGATCTCGTCACAGGAGTTTCATAGGTAATTGGTCTTGACCTGTATGTCGTCTTTAATATTTCATTTGCTCCAGAGTATTATTACTCACTTCCTTCAAGATGATAGCTAGGCTTTTTATGCAGCTAAACTTCTCTTTAACCTTGCTATGAGGATGTGACAGCAGGCTAGTTCAGACAGGTTAACATTCATTTGGTAACCAGCCTGCTTAATCAGCCTGCTTCAACCTGCAGCAAATTAAATCTTTGTGAAGTTCTAGCAGACAAGTGATAAAGTCATTCTGAATTATGTATAAAAACGAATGGGGCATTTTCAGTGCTTGTGGCAGCAAATGAAATTTAAGGCTTACGGATTTTTGTTGAAGATGATTAAAATTTATTTTACCTTCATGTTTTTACAGTCCAGTTAGGAGGATGCTGTATTTCTGAAATAGATAATGTAAGTCTCTCATTCTGTGCCCTGCAAAAATAGTAATAATTTTTATAGGGTCTAGAAAATCTTTTTCTGTCCTCTCTGTGTGTCTTCTGAAGGAAGCAGTAGAATCAGTATTTTAAACATATAGCTGGAACTATTTTTCTCCATGTCACCAAGAATAGTACAGCATCAAATGTTTTGTCATTGCCAAAATGAATCAGCTGGCTTTATTTAAGAGCTATTCACATTGTGATCTTAGCCCATGTGTTATCAAGATAGGGCTTAGGTACTTCTGAAGATTCTACTTGTGGTCATCAACCTCACTTGACCAGGACTGATGCGCTTTCTGGAAGAGGGCAGAAGGCTGTATGAAGAAAGGTGCCTGAATTGCAAGGATGGCACTGATGGTTCTGATCACAGAAGAACAGACTATTCTCATTTTTAGTTGGATCGATTAATGCATTTTTAAAAGCAACCTGGGATCAGATCTTCAAATATTGTTATTGTGTTTGCAGGCATCTTATAATTTTGTCTTTCAAATGACGTTAGCTTTTTTCTACTTGCTCTCTTTTTAGTTTTAAAAAGTTGAGATTTAGGCATATAGCAACAGGCAGAAGTGCTATTTCTGTTGGCACTGGTTAATGAACATCTATCCTGTCTGTGCTGACACAATTTCATCAGCACTGTTGAGTTTGCACGTGTCTTTGTTATATGAGGAACATGACACTTGCCTTTGACATCATTAATGACTGAGATGGAGATGAACTTTATTGAAGCAGCCATCTTGATTGTGTATTTTACAATGTCTGCAGATAAACTGTTCTTTTAAGATAATATTTTTTTCAAGATGACTTAACTGTTTTTAATTAGTTGTATCAGTATCTATCATCTTCATTTTAACCTTTGTTTATTGATTAGGAAGGAAAAAACTACATTTACTTCATAAATTACAGCATACTGCTGTAATAGTTAGTCCATACAAACAATGATTCAAACTTCAGTTCTGACTTGGCAGAAAATAACAATTCAAGACAGCTTTGAGTTTTCAGTTCCATTTAGTTTGTTTTGATACTTTGTGCATACACACCTGTAAAACTCAGTTAATATTTCTTTGAATAATGTAAGGAATCATTTTCACTTTTCAGGCTTCTTTATGTTTGTATAATTAATGGTCTTTTGCAGTGCAGTCTTCAGTTCAAATCTCAAAGCAACCTTAAAAAAAAAAAAAAAACAAGAAACCTCCCCAAAAACCACCTTCCTTTGAGACTATGGCTTTAATAAATGATCATTGCTTCGTTTGTAGATGACTCTAGCTGTATCGGGACTGACTTTTCCTTGCCATCGACTTACAGTTGGAAGAAGATCTTCACCTGTACAAACAAGGGAACAGTCAGAGGAGGTAAGAACATCATCTTTATTTCACTAGAATTGTCTAGGAAGAAGCAGGGAAAGCCCATTTTTCCATGGTCACCATCCCTTCTATTGCCAAATACATGAGTAGAATTCTGCCTTAAAAGAATCAATTTACAGTTCCTGTAACACGCAGTTGTAACATAGTAAGGAACTGGGTAGATGAGTCTGAAGATAAAGAGGGAAAACAAAGTAAGCAAGCCACAGGAAGCATGAAAAACACTCCAAATTAAATATAAGGTTGAAACATATATTTTTAGTATTAGCAGAAAGGGATGTTTACAGACTGTATAAATTCCTGTTTTGTTGTTTCTAACTGTTAGTAGTTTGGGTTAAAATTTGCAATGCCTTTGTTCTTCCTCAAAATGCATTTAATATGAACAGTTTCCCATTTTCCATAGACTTTTCTCATTTTGACTGGAGAGCTATAGCACATAAGGTTTATCTTGCTGCTCAAAAAGGATGTATTTCAGTCTGTTCAGCTCATTTGCGTTGGCAAAACGTAGCTGTGGGGTATGGTCAGGATGCAAGCCTGGAAATAGTTGTTAAAAGTTAGAGGATGGTCATGCAATGCCATTCTAGCTGTACCTGAACCACTTAGCAGATTAAATACATGGTTATTGTTTTCTTCTGGGACCTACCAGCGTAGCTATGTATCATTGCTGCTTTACTTCATTCTTTCAAAATGACCTGAGTTTGTTCACCTTGTAGAATTCTCTTTTTGGCTGGTTCACTCAGTAATTATGTTCTTTATTTGAAGCTTTTTGTTTGTAGTTCTTGTGGAGAGAGATATGCAATGTTTCTGTATTTGAAGGTCTTTGCTGCTCTCATGGTCACTTGCATGCTAGAGATGAAATCTCACGTTCCATACTTCATTGCACCTTCAGAGATTCACACAGATTTTCTGTAGTGTACTATCATTGTAACTTCTAGGTCAAGTGGAGCTGAAATAGTAATTTGTGAAAATAAGTCAATTTGTAGGCAGGTTAATATTGAATACTTAAACCCAAGGTTTTTCTGAGCTCTTTTGTGTTTCAGAGGACATGAAATCCGAAAGATCTGACAGTGGGGGTTGGAAGCACAGATGGCACCTGAGGTCCTTGCACAAAGATGTTGATTTTTCTCCTTAATATTCTTATGCCAAATAAATTGGCCTGTCATTCAACATGCAGCAGTCTGGTGTGCCAAGTTAGGACTACGGGTGCTAAATTTATATGTCAGAGATTGCACTACATGAAATAGGTACCTTTCCATGGACTGTCTCCGACCATCCAAGTACTGCTAAAGTAGATTGTATCAGGATGTCTAAAATTATTGATCAAGTGTGTGTCTTTTCTCACTCTTTCTTATGCAGCTAAACCAGCTGTAGTACCATTGGTTGGAAAACAGCATTAACTTTGGATAAAATTCTCTCAACTATGTGTACACAGAGAATGTTCCTCAGTTATTTAATAATACATTTTGAACCATATTACTGCTATTTCAATGAGACTTCTGTTAAAAGTTAGGCCATATTTATAAAAAGCAGTCTGATAATGCTGTATAAAATAATAAAGTACAATGCAGTATACAAGTATTTTTGTAGAAATGTGTAAGTCTTTTTCACTGTGCATGCAGTTCATATTTCACTGTAGATGATGTCTGCAATAGCAACTTATGGTGGATTTTGTTTTTTGTTTTTATGTAGCAATGCACTGATGTTCATATGGTTAGTGACAGTGATGGAGATGACTTTGAAGATGCTACAGAGTTTGGAGTTGATGATGGAGAAATGTTTGGAGTAGCTTCATCTGCCTTGAGGAAATCCCCAATGAGTAAGAGTTAATTTACAATTAGCTAGTGATTGTAAAGCAGCAGTGAAGGCAGAGCGCTATTTTGGGTCTGCATAAGAGGAAAGTATCGTTTGATAGAAATGTTGGAATTGTTTGTCATGTCTGATGGCTGTATCAAATGAAAATACTGAAAAGATAATTGACAACTATTCCCATTGAGGAACTTTCTTAACCTTATGTTTTTAGCTTACAGTTGAAGAATAGTAATAAAACTTAGAGAAATATGATCTCCAACCAAATGTTCTTGTAGATACCTAGATATCTGCTTCCCTGTTTTGAAAATTCTACAGATTTTAGCTTCATCATCTTGTGGTGATTAATATTTTTAGTAATTTGCATTTAAAGAAGTTTCTCAGTGGTTTGTTTTTTTTTTTTTGTCCTTGAATTATGGAAAAGATTGAGCAGGGACAGTCAGTTACCTCCTATATGCAGTTCTATATACCCTTTATTTACTTTAGGCATGCATTAGTGTTACTACCTTAGAAGTTTTTTGACAGCAAATATATGTAATAATAAGGAAAAAAAAATAACATTATCTATAGGAATTATTTTTTTTTAAAGAATATAAGAGTAACTAGCAATGTAGTGGGTCAAGACTTTGAGGCTAGTCCTTTTATTGCAATGTATTTTAAAGCAAGTCCAGAGTGTTAACTTGAAACGAATGATATATCACATTACACTGGACCTGAGGATTTTACTGTTTGGAAAGCCTGAATGTATTCATGAGAGTATCTAGAAATTTCATGTCTTTCCAAAGGTTCATAGTCAATAGTCTCTCATGAAATTTATATGTTCTCTTGGTAACCAGTTCAGTAAGATGTCAGAATTTAAAAAAATCTATGAAGCAAGTGAATCTGCATATTAAAATGTTTCCATAAGGTTGTGTTTAATTTATATATATTTTTTTTTTAAGTGCCAGAAAATGCAGAAAATGAAGGAGATGCCTTATTACAATTTACAGCAGAGTTTTCTTCAAGGTAAGCTTAGCCTATTAACTGTGCAATTCATGTTACAAACTAAGTAAAATTTAGTAATGAATGAAAATAAAAATAAACCAAATGTATGTATTGTGGCATCATAGCATATTTAAGCATCTTGATCTAAGTTATTTTAAGCTTTGCTTTGTTAGAACTGTTTCTGCAATAAAATTATTTCTCACTCCAAGTTAGAGTGACATATTCTTGCCTTATTTAATTTGCAACTAATTAATATAATTCCATAATTATGTAAAGGTCCAGCAGGATGATAAAGACTCTGATTATGTATAGTAATTTTAATGCAGTCTACAGGAACAGAAAAGCTGAAACAGATTAATATTGAAAAATATATAGTGATTTGCAGTAAGAGTAGTAATGAAGTGGTTGGATAAGTCTCTACTTTTAAAAAATATAGAAATGCTGCTTTTTTTAACTTTATACCTCCAAATCATACATTGTTAAACACTTGCCATGTGTCATCAAACAGGTAGAATCTGTAAATGAATATACTGCAAAGTAATGCAAGGTTTATATACCTTCTGTTTTCACTCTGTGATGGAAATGTTCATTGATAGATACTAGATGCATTAATGTGTAATACAAGAAAAAGCCTACAATTAGCCTTTAAGAATATAATAAAGAGAGGAAATAAATTATGATTGAAAAATTATATAGACCTTTAGGTGCCTGTGTGTAAACAGGAAGTTTCTATGACAAAATTTGTAAGGTAGTAGTTAGATATTTTGAGCTTTTGAATGTTGGGAGACATGGCTTCTAAATATTTCACTTCTGTCCTTTAAAATTATAGTACCTCACCTTTCTTAAGGTTTAGCCAATGCATTATATTTTCAGACTATACGAAGAGGTAGACTATTGGAATTACTTACTTTTGTAATTTTTTATTAATTGATAATTTTATCTCAAATAGATATGGTGACTGCCACCCCGTTTATTTTATTGGATCACTAGAGGCTGCTTTTCAAGAAGCCTTCTATGGGAAAGCTAGAGATGTAAGTGTGTATTAAAACAACTTTATTTATTATTGGGGAGGAAAAAATAAATTGCTTTAAATGCTTCATCTTTATTTTTAAAAAGGTAAACTACAGTTTGCAGTTATCTTGGCTTTATTGTTTGTGAAGAGTTACACTCATTCAGTTAGACTGACTGAAATACTTCTTGCTGAAAGTAGGGAATAACTTATGCTTCCTAATCATTCAGGCTGTATTTTCATCGGAGGTCTCACCAGAGCTACTCTTCTTTTTTTTTTTTTCCCACCCTCCCTTTTCTTCCTGAAATAATGGTGTCCTAGCACCAGATAACACTAGCTACGAGTCTTCTGGTTGACAAGATGAACGTTACATGTTGGTAACTCCTTTGAGGAGTGGCTAATGAAATTGTAAATTTAAACCTAAATGTCTCTGAAATACAGTGTGCTTTTCCTTTCCGTTGTACAGCCCTTATCTGCCAAGTTAATTCCCATACTAAGGCTTGATTATTTAGTTTTTCTGTACATCCAGCCAGACAGCTCAAGTTTCTGTTATTCCATGCAGTTTTAAAATCAGTATTTTAATAAAATTAGAATGGGGGTAGTTTGTTTAAGTTTTTGTGAATTGATTCACTAAGGAGAAACCCAAACCCGCCTGCATAATTAAGCATAGATAAAGCTGAAACACAAACAAGAAAATCATGCTGCTAAATTTACTTTTTATTGTCTTGATAGATATTTTATTTTAAAGTGAAGAATGTTTTGGCTTCCTGTAGTTGTTCATATTGGAAGGAACAGCTATTTTTGTTAGGGGTAGTTCTGGTAAGTGCAGTGTTACGAAGCTACACTTGTATGGCTTAAGTTAACACACACTTAACATGTTGTGTGCACACTCTTTAGTGAATATTTTCATGTCTTTGAGCAGATTTCAGCGCATAAATGGATCCATATAAATTCAGTGGCAAAGTATTAATTTATTACTCATTAAATAATGGAGTAATCATTAAAGTGGACCCTAATGCATGTTTAAAAGAGATCATATCAATCAAAGGAAAGCATTTGAGTTAGGAGGTTCACTTTGTGTTGTTTCATGACATTTAATTCATTAAGCTGAACAGATGAGAGCCCATTAAAGGCTTTCATAAATATTTTTTATACCTATAAATATGATAGTAACGTAGGGCAGTTACTTAGTTTTTTAATACTGAAAGCACTTCTTAAACTACTTACATAGCACTCCTGTAATTCATGTCACCTTACATTTCTAATGTTTTTGCACTGTATTTGGACCAGATCCTCATCAGGATAAAGTTATATACTGAGGAAAGTAGTATTTTAGTGGCTTCTTTCTTTTTTTTCTCCCACTATTGCCTCAATTTTTCAAAGCTCTCCCCTGCAACTACCCTGTGGAATTACATGATTTTTATTGTAATATTCGGACTTGAAACAAAGGTATGGGAATGTATAAACACAATTTATTTTTATTGCTTTTCCCCTGATACATGCAAGTTTTTTCAGTACTGCCTCCTGGAATTCATAATTGAGGCAAGGGATACATTATTGTATATTTTCATAATTGTATTTCATAAAATAATTGAATATGTGTATCAGTAGACAAAAAAAAAGCTTGGGAGGAATCACAACCTGTGTATCCTGTCTTCTAGTTTATACTATGGAGGGCACTTAATTTTACCAGGGCGACAGATGAGCTTCAGACACCAGCATTCTTCACTTGAAGTGAGAAATTGAGTTCCAAGAGTAAATAAAAACAAGATTGAAGGTTTAAATCCTCTGCTAGGCTTTTTGAACTTATATACTCATTAAATGTTTATTGGAGTGGTGGGATTACGAAGGATTTGGGTAGCTTCATCAACTGGTATATACTTAATCACTAAGTAAAACACTACATTTGATAGAGTGTTTCTCACGATGCCACACTCGATCCATCTTAATGAAAACCGCTTCAAACTGATTTAATTTGAGAGCACTTGGCAGCTTGAGTGCTCAGAGATCTTAGCCTTTTCTTGACAAATTCTCAATGCTGTCCAAAGCAGAAGGTGCACTCTGCAGTTCGGGTCTAGTGAGACAGCCATTAGCTACGTTTTTAACCTATATTGAGATACTTTTTCCCTCAAAAAAAATCCCATTATAGATGAACCTGAAGCCTTTTTGCAGAGATACTTTAATTTGGGTTATTTTAAGGAAATGAATTTATATCAGAATGTGTGTTTTAGGCACAGGTTATGGGTTAAAATCCTTTTAAAGAAAATAGTTATTGCTTTGTTAAATCTTAATGTCTTGTCCTTTCATGTGTTGGAAAGGATGTTCATACTTGTTTAAGAAAATTTTACTTGAAAAAGAAATACCTTGTAAAAAAAAGCTTTGATGTCTCTGACCCATGTTTTGTTTAGCTTTTGTTATTGTAGCTTTTCATTTTGAGTCTTTAGAGAAATAGCTATCATATATGTTAATCTTAACTTTATTCCTTTAGAGCAACTGCTACCATGATAATGCCAGTTTTAGGTAAGAAAGATGGAATGAGTTCAAATGTAGCTCTGCGTTAAAACCTGTAAATCTCTATAGCACAAAAATACAATAGCCAAGATAGAGAGCTTTGCCACCAACAACCAGTGTCCTTGGCAATGAAATCTCCAGTTAACTCCTGAAGCCCAACAGTCAAGAGCATTGTGTGTGTTCGTTTCTGAGGCTTATTATATATAGATAAATCTATAACACAATAATTTTTTTTTTTTTTTAGTTGTGTCAGGAAGAGAAAGAGAGACATAGGTTTATTAAATAAACAAATAAGTTATTTTTGTGAAAGTTGTCTTCTACTTATTGTGCCAATTGCAAAGAAGCATATCTCTGCTACATTAGTTTATGAAGAACAAGCTTCCTCTTGCTCAAGTAGCTACACTATCATAGAAATAACTAGACCTGATGCCATGGAAAAACTCTTCTAAAGGACAGTTTTAACAAGATGTCTGGGGGAGGTTTCTTTGTGACTGAAAGCAGTTTGTTGGTGCCTTGTATTCTAAAACATCAGGGGGTTATCCTATATTGGGGCAATATTGTTATTAATACAAGATCTTAATCGCTATATTAAATCTCGCTGAGCTATTTACTTGAATAATACTTAATTTTTTTTTTTTTATTAGAGCTTGTTTGCCTTTTCATTTTTATAGGTGTTTGCTACTCTTTTATTACGAGAAAGAATAAAGACATCAGCTTTACCTTTTCAGGAGCTCTTATCTTTATATATCTGTCAGGTCACCTCCTGCTCCTCTCTCAACCTTTCTGTCCACTGACTTAATAAATATGTGAAACATCTCTCTTAGCACAGATTGGTATTGTCACTGCAGTATGTATTCCTGCATACTGAAAATGAACCATGTTTTTCTTCACCTTGAATTCTGTCTTTTAGGTTTGGTTTAGTGGCAGCACCATCCCTCTCACATATGGATACTTTATTTACTGAATGCCTAGAAGAAAGTATGCTCCTGTGATCTGGCATGTTTAAATAACAGCTCCTTTTTTTTTTTCTTCCTAGTGTTAGCAGAATATTCCCTTACACAGGACTTTCTGTAGGATCATTTTATCAATGTAATTCAGAAAACTGTCCCTTATTATTTTAGCTAATTAAATTCATGCAGAACTTAAAACATGATGAATATTCACAGAGATAATTATTCTGATTTCTGTTAGAGCACTTGATAGAAACAGCAGTGGCTGCCCTCCAGTCTTTTTGTCTCAGAGAGAAATTTGAAGTCTTATCTTTTAGATGCTACCTCATGCAGAGAGAGGTTTTGAATCCCTGTTGAAGGACAGATATTTCATTTAGTCTTTGTTATTTTTCCCCCTCATTTATTCCCTAAACACTGTGGAGTAATGTCAAGGAGTACATCTGCATCATCATCTTTTACTTTGCAGGCACATTTCAAATTCAGGTGTCCTGTATGTGTTTTGAAGATCTGTTTGTGGTTGAGCTGTCTGAGGGTCCTAGATGGAGAAATTACTACTTTACAGATTCTGATTAAACATAAATAACCTGTACACCAATCTACATGGTCTTGTTGGAACTGTAGAGGGCAGGTATAGAAGTATAACTCTAGGATCCCAGGAAGCGTAAAGCAGCTGCACTATGGTAGATGCCAGTACCAAAACTGCAGTTAAGTTTTGTGTCAGTCACCTACATTTTCTTTCCAGTCTCACCTGATATGTGTTTGGAGTTCTGTCCTTTTGTTCTTAAATCCATTCTGAACTTTTTGATAATTATTATTTAGAAATGTTTGCTACAGCGTACCAGCTTAGTACCCCTACTGTATGCCTACACACCCTTCATTCTGCTTCATCTTTCATATCAGAGAGATTAGTCCTGGCTATGGGTCCCTCTTCAATGTTCTCTGTACCTGATATTAAATAATGAAAGATTATTGACATTGCCACACTCTCATTCCAAGCCTATGATTTGTAGAACTTATTTTAATTTGGTTTTAATTACTGGATATTCTTTGAATTGTGTAAGGTATCACTACAACTTCAATCAGTTGAAACAGAAATACAACAGTATAATAGGATCAAATATTTGGAAGATGAAAGTAGACCAAATCAAGCTTAAAATAAAATACAGCTTTACCTGGCATAGTGGTTACCCATTTGAGCAGCTTACTGTGATTCATATGGATTCTTCGTCACTGATGGTTTTTTGACATTAGATGTTTTACTAAAAAATAAAATTACTGAAAGATTAAATTAGGAATTAGTCTGGGGATGTCTTATGCCATGTGTGATACACCAGATCAGAAGATTACAGGAATCATCTCACTCTCCCTTTGGGAACCCGTGTGGTACAGCTTAATCCAGATCACCTTCGTGTTAGACAGAGTTTGAGTTCTGCTTAGGGAAAAAAGATAGTGCATGATAGAATAGTTGTGTCCAAGAATGCTGGTCATGTGATCTGCAAGATCACCGTAGAAAGGTGGATCAAATTGTATACTTCAAAGGCTTAAACATGTACAAGTATTTTCCTTTGTTGATTTAAATTAGCTCTCACTACGTAAAACGTGGAGGGAAAAGGAAGATCTTGATTTATTAGTCTCCCAGCTTGAACGAACATTTGTGTCTCTAGCAGATGTTACATTGTGAACATTTTTGCCTCAGTTATTACTTGAACTTGTGAACCTGAGGTTCAGAAATAACTTTTCTGTGTTTTTGCTGACCCTTATGACTGTATTGCTGTTCTCATTCTAGTTCATATTCTTCTGAGGTATCCAAGTTATTCATGTCATTAAGAACTGGCTGAGAAGCTTGGATATCCCATTAGAATCATAGAATCCTTTAGGTTGGAAGGGACCTTCAAGATCATCAACCATTGAGCCATTAGGGCTCTAAAGTCCTCTGCTAAAACAGATCAGAATCTGTCAGGGTTGGAAGGGACCACAAGGATCCCCCAGTTCCAACCCCTCTGCCATGAGCAGGGACACCTCCCACTAGATCAGGCTGCTCAGAGCCTCATCCAGCCTGGCCTTAAAGACCCTCAGGGATGGGGCCTCAACCACCTCCCTGGGCAACCCCTTCCAGGGTCTCACCACTCTCATGGTGAAGAACTTCTTCCTCATGTCCAGCCTGAATCTACCCACTTCCAGCTTTGCCACATTCCCCCTAGTTCTTTCGTTACTCTATTTCTTTCTGCCTGAGTGCCAACTTTTCCTTCATTTCTTCTAATTCTGCAGAAAAATACATGAACTTTCCTGAAGCTCCAAAATGCAGAAATGGCCAAGTGGATGGCATAGCCATTTTGGTACATAAGACAGATCTTTGGTGTGTTTGTCTCATGCTTGGGAGCACATGTGCACGTTAGATCTCTTAGTCAGCTGCACGGGGTTTATGTGGCAGGAGGCTGCTGTGCTTTGGGTGATGTGTTAGAGAGGTTGCATTGTGCAGGGCTACAGGTGGGAGGGCTGTGCCTCTCAGGGAGGTTCCTTGATCCAGTACGGTGTCCATCTACAGCCCACCTTTCCTTCCAAGTGCCAGGCATGTTGCATCAACAGATCCGCATCAGGTGGGAGAGGGCTGCAGCACTTCACTGGAGGTACACCGTGGTGGCTGTCAGGCAAGGGAGCAGAGGCATGGCTGAGGCTCAGGTAGTCTCTGTGCAACAGAGGCTGCAGAAGAAAATGCTTGAGGTCTGAAGTATTTAAGGGGTTTAGATAGCCAAGTTACTGAAAGCAGTTAGCACCTTTCTTATGTCCCTTTTTCCTCTGAAATAAAATGGAACCTGGAGCTTAGAGTTCAAGCTTTTAGGTGTTATTGGCACTGGTGAGACTTACACTCCCAAGTACATTTGTAAATCCAGATCCCTTTTGAAAATTCTAGTGTATCACTCACTGTTCAGTCTTCAACGTCCACATACTCTGAAAAATACATCTCTTGATGGCTTAAGTTTCTGAATTCCTAAGGCCTTTGGAAGTCCATCAGCTATTCAACATTTAGCACCCTTTCCATTTCCCACACCTTTATTTGGAGTAGCAGTTCTTCCCCACCAGATTTTTTTTCTAGTTAAAGTTTTGTGCCAAGTATATAAACCTTGAGTCATATTTTTAAAAATCCTAACACAGAACAGACTAGTGCTCTGTTAGTGGGTGTCTTCTATGGAAATCAAGACTGTTCAACAGTTTAGTTAGCCTATTTTATTCATACCGACTAAAAAATTGCCAGTATTAGTCATCATAGAATCCTAGAATTTACTGTGATTTTCCCAAGGCTTGAGCTACAACTAACAAAAACCTGCTTGTAAATATATACTACTATGTGATAATAAACAAAACCCCAAACCAAACAAACAAATCACACCACAACAGCAACAACAACAAACTACAAGCCATGAGCCTTTTACAATAATTCTTTTTTCCAGGGGAAAAATATCCCAGGCTTCCACTAATCTTTTTCGAAATCATGTTTCAGCACTTCAGTTCCACCTTCTACATTTTTTCCGTTGTCCTAGCAGTGTGCCTATGCCTGACCTTAACATTTTGGATGAATTATCAGACAAGTACAATCTTTTATATACGATGGAGTTTAGTCTTTGCATGGTGAGATTTGTTGATGCAACAAAAATTACATTCACTTGTAAAGTGGCTCAGTGTAAACATCTATTGTGTATGTGCCTGTTCTGTTTACTAAAATTTGTCTCTAAGTCCTTAAGCCTAAAACTGTACATATTTTGAAACATTCCGTTGTATGCAATCTCATATTTAACAGTTTCATGGGGTTGTTTCTTTGGAAGTAAAAGTGTTTCTCAAGAGCCTTTTTTTCTATCCACTCCCAGTGAAAAGGGGAGAGCAAAGCCATCCGCTTACCACAAAGCAGTGCCACCACAAAGGAAAGATTAAGGGTTTAGAGAGAGGTCAATGTGGGTTTTTCTCTAACTAAACACTTTCCTAAAGTTTCCTTGTGGAAAAAATAATGAAGTCATCTCAGAGTTTTTAAAGAATTTTTATTTCTTTTTCACCGTCTGCATTCGCTTGTCTTCTCAGCATGGATGTTTAATCTTTCTAGGCTTTGTGAATTGGTCCAAATGAATAAGTGGTGAGCTGTCTCTCTAGGAGCTAGAGGCTTATTCTAAGGCCCTAATCACTGAGTAAACACATCTTTGCCCTCCCTCTCTTACAACTGCTATATAATAGTCGAGATTCTAGCACAGTAACCTGGATATTGCAGGGATCGACGCTTTGAAATGCAGAATGCCTGATCCTCAAAAACAGACAGTGCCTGATCTTCCCCTGCCTCTTTCTTCTTTTTAAATTAAATATCACCACAGAAATGCTGTTTTATTGCTTGATATTGTGCATCAGTGCCCTGGATTTTCAAGTTTAGTTTCAGTCAACATTGTTGGCTGCACTTATTTTGATCTCTGCATGTTGGTCTTATTAATGGTTCTTCCTGGCACATGTGTCTGTGGTTCTGAAGAACCACATTTAAATTAAATTTGACAAACATGAATGCAGATTACTAATCCCTTTGCCAAAGTCTAATGTTCAAATGTATTCTTCTTTTTATAAACAGACATTAAGTTTTATTCAAAGCCAGTATACGAGCTGATAGCCATACAGGTTTTTTTACAAAGACAGCTTGTCTTAAAATAGCATCCCATGTCCTGCTACATCAATACACATCAACATCTAGTGTTCACTGTTACTTTTGATTAAGAGATTTGAAATGAATTTAAGTCTGAAAATAGCATTTACTGTATTGTCTCAGCAAATATATTCAAGTAGGATTTTAACATATATTAATATATAAGGGTATGGGGGGATGGAAAGTTGTAACTTTCTGGATGGTATTTATAGTTCATTGAATACCAGGTACAGGATCGTGGTCCTCAACTAGCTCGTAGTTTCCTTGTATTTTTCTCAGTCTGCTTTCTATATTTACATGCAGGTAAGTATGTAAGACCTCCTTGCCAAAAGGTCTGAGGTTATCAAGGGGACACAGCACAGCTCTGCTGCTGGCAGTGAAGCTCAAGTACTACTTGATAGGGCTTCAGAAGAACACAGCACAGAATATCTTGTTTCAAGAGGTTGCAAACACCATGCTCAACATCTAGTCTTCGCTAGTGTGGTACCTGTGATGTGATATGTCAGTGCTCACAAACTCGATGTGGGATTTGACCCACGTCTTCCGTACTCCTTCCCGTCTGTCTTTCACACGCGCAGTGCTGGGGCAGCCGCCTGGCTCCTCAGCCCCACGGGAGCTGGAGCCAGCTGAGCTGACACATGGCCTTTTGACCAACAACATGCCGACTTCCAAAGCGTGTGAGACACGGATCTGCTGTGGGCTTCCCGTCATACGGCTGGATGGAGACCTGCCAGAACAGCGTGTAGCGTCACAGGCTTTGGGACTGTGGGCAACTCTAGTTCTTCACCATGAGAGTGGTGAGACCCTGGAAGGGGTTGCCCAGGGAGGTGGTTGAGGCCCCATCCCTGAGGGTCTTTAAGGCCAGGCTGGATGAGGCTCTGAGCAGCCTGATCTAGTGGGAGGTGTCCCTGCTCATGGCAGAGGGGTTGGAACTGGGGGATCCTTGTGGTCCCTTCCAACCCTGACAGATTCTGATCTGTTTTAGCAGAGGACTTTAGAGCCCTAATGGCTCAATGGTTGATGATCTTGAAGGTCCCTTCCAACCTAAAGGATTCTATGATTCTATGATTCTATTGTTATTGACTCATTTTCCTCTTTCTGTGGCTACAGATTAGGTGATAGCAATACACTGTCATTTTTTTTTTCAGGTTGTTTATAATCGTTTTATATCACAGATGCTGTTGTAACAAGAGGTGTGTTCCTTGCTCAAGGAATTATTGGGCAGCAAGCCCCAAAAGTTGCTCATTTCTTAAGCTAGGTCTGTTAATAAGGGTTTTGTTTTTCATTCAAATGTTGCTGTTTTCGTGTTCTAAGCATATAATATATTGTGCTTGGTACCCAAAATAGAAGATTGGGAAGGTCTGAGAAGGGATGGATCATTTGACTTGAAATCTACTGGGGTTTTTTTCCTTGTGTTTGCACACTGAGATACTTTGTACCCTCAATAAACAACATCGGATGTACTAACACAAATCTACAGCTTATTTTAAATTATTGCATAGCCTGAGGAAGTTTGCACTGATCTTTTCTCGTGTCTTTTCAGAGAAAGCTTCTTGCTATCTACCTCCACCATGATGAAAGTGTTCTAACCAACGTCTTCTGTTCACAAATGCTTTGTGCTGAATCTATTGTCTCGTATCTGAGTCAGAACTTCATTACCTGGGCATGGGACATGACAAAAGAAGCTAACAGAGCAAGGTAAAGCCTCTTTAGATTGTGAGTGGAGCAGCTTTTCTCTCAAAGAAGACCCTTATCTCTGTGTATCAGATCTTCTTCTGCTTGATCTCTATTTGAACTAAAAGCTTCATGCTCATTCTTAGCTGATCAATGAAGGTGTGCTGGCTGACATTCACTGACAATGAGACCATCCTTGTTTTTATTACAAAGTGATTTATTATTCTTGTGCAGGAAGGTATAGTTGAACAAAAAATTATTTCTTTATTTCTTCTTTTTCCTTTTTTTTTTTTTTTTTGAGTATATTGTACAAACATAGTTCTAGGAATGTGGCTTCACAGTTTGGTATTGTAGTGCCATAATATTACATGACAGTAATTGTATGAACATAGGTGTGACAGCATGAGAACTGTCCGGGATAATAACTGCTGTTGTTAAATAAGTCTTACTTAGAAAACAACATGTATGTGATAAATTAATCTTAAAACCAGAACATGCAAAAAAATAAAAGCTTGCAATTCATCTGAGCTTTTTTGAACTATAGTTTTCTTACAGAACATTCCTTTGGTAATGTTCAGATAATTTGATATGTTTTAATGTAAGAATAGCTACCCAGTACCTTAGAGAGACCTTCATTTTGGTGATGAGTAAAGAAATTAAAAGCCTGTAGATTCCATGTCCTTCTACATCTATTGTGTGTTAAAACGTTTTCTTTATATTAAGACCTCTGTTCTTTAGTTATGTCTGTTGAATGTAATCTATTGAAAATAGTTCTATTATTATACTTATTATTAAATTATTATATATTATATTATTATTATTCGACTTGTTTGGCTTTCTAACTTGGACCTTATTTCATCACCTTTATATACACAGAAGATAACTGCTTGTCAGGATAAATGTTTTGCGTATATTACTATAATGAGAGTTATTCTAACTTTTGAACAAAAGATACGTCATTTGTGCTGGGATAAAGTTACCACTTTTTTTACACAATTCTATCAATTATTAAATAATTAAAGTATGTATTTGTTTCTTTCTCTTGTGTCTTGCTAGAATAGAGTATTTTTGCATTCCTGTTCTTAAGTATGTAGATTACAGTTAACGTTTCTTTACTGGAAGTGAGCATGGAGAAGAGAACAACCTCTTCTTCTGATAGATTTTTTTTTAAATGACAGTTGTGTTTCGCAGGAATTCCTCACTTGACCTTCTGCATTTTGTCACTGAACAAGTCAACAGCAATGTTTCCAGTTTAAGTTATTCTAGCGGAGAGTTAAAGACTAAGGAAAAAAGCTGTTGCAAAAAGAGATAAAAAGCTATTTAAAAAGAAAAGAGAGAGAGAGAGTGGGAATGAGAGAGAGAGGAAAAACAACAAACATCTAGGTCCTTTCCTGGGACCAAATACATAGACTGGAGAGTTGCTTAAGTCTTTTGGTATTACCATTCATGGGCAGTAAGGAGCCTCCTCCTTTTCTTTTATCCCACAAGTTGATGTAGAAGGAAACACTATTTCTAAACCATCTGTAGTGGCTAAGTTCAGCTGACTACCTGCTGTTCTATTGTTCACTTTTCTATTTAATTCTCTAGTTTCTTTTATTTTACAATGACAAAAAATTGCAGTGTAGTTTCTTTTGAAAAACTGTGTTTGAGGGTCTTTTTTATGACTGACAATCAACAGCCATGTAATTGCTTTGTTGTGTTTGACTAAAGAAATCTATTAAGTAGCACAACTTTGATACACTAGTAATAAGAGTTTGCAGGTTACAGAGACACCTGTGGTGACCAAAGCGACAGAAGCTGCTGCTTAGAAAGAGCCTGTACAGCTGTGTCCTATTAACTCCTTATGACACTTCTTAAAACACAAAATAAAGGGCTTGTTTAAGTCTTTATAGCTGTTCTCAATTAACCCAGTCACCGATTGTGCAGCACCATCGGGGTTTTAAGGCTTCAGTTTTTGCTTTCTAATAACAATAAAGTAACTGTCATATTAACAGTGAGGTCAAAAAATAGGAAGGGGTAAACAAGGCATGCTGGCTGGAATTAGAATAATTTCTCGGGTTCTTGTGGTGTCACATCCTGCTCCGAAGACTGTGATGTCTTCAGAGGGGGCATGATGCTTCCTTCTCCCTTTTGGCATTCTCATAAATAACTTCTCAGTCCCTCTGTTTAATTACTACCCTTCCTTATGTGACACAACGACAGTGGTCTTGAAGCCTGTTCTGTGTCCCTGTGAACACAGTTGCACGTAGCTTTTGACCTCAGTGGTGAGAAGACAACAGCAGCAAGAGAAGGAACTGCTTGTTGTATGCTGGTGTATTTGTGCTGTTAGAGTTAGGTTAGTGGAAAAGCCAGGGTGGGAAGGCAGAGGAATCAGGCCCACTTTATTTACAGCAATCATTAGGGCCACTTCAATGTCATTAGACAAATAGTATGTAGTAAATGTCGTAAAAGACAAATTTTTAGTGCTGTAGCATGGCATGAGTAAAACAGATAGAAATAATTGCCTCCCTCTCATAAGCCAAAAAAACCCCTTGAATATTTGGATTTTTTTTCTTGCTCTTTGCTGTCTTCTTTCTGATGCCTACAGATGTCATTCTGCTCAGGAAGTCTTAATAGGAGTTTCCATTATTGTCATTAATGAAATGAGCTTCCATCCTGAACACTATAGAACAAAACCAGCTCCAAAATCTTGTCATTTTTCCTAATTTTAAATATGTTTCTCAGCTGACACTGATGTCAGTCTGTGCTTTGAATCCTGCATTACTATATTCTAGCACTTTTCAGACAGAACCTCTCAGCCTTCTTCAACATCCACTGCAACAGAGTGAGGAGTTCTGTAGGTAGGACTGGAAATAAAATGCTATGTGCAGGCACCAGGGTAACTGTTAGCAGTCGAGCAAAAGCATAAGCATTAGCACTTTGGAAGGCAGATTTCTAACAGTTTCTAACTGCAGCCACCCAGGACTGTTACTTTGTCAAACTGAAGGAGAACTCCAGTTAATACAGTGAAGAGGGTGTTTTGTTTGGTTTCCACAGCTTTTAATTGCCTCTGATAAAAGGTTTGCAGGAAAGGGAGCAATTACTTTGGGTAAGAGTTGTAAATTATGAATCTTTTTATTACTAAAATTAAAAAAAAATCATACCTACAGGCACAAAATAATATTAATAATATTTAACCTTCATTTAGGAAAATAACATGGTGCTTCTATACCGTTAAGGAATCTATGTGAAAGCTTTATCACCTGATGTTCAGACTTTAGTGAGCAACTGTTTGAAACATGCTTGTCATTTATGTTGTCCATGGTCAAAGGAGGAAAAAACCCACAAAGGTGTAGGTATATTTATTGTCTACTAAATATGAGCTGAAAAATCACTGTTTCCTTTCATTACTTCCTATGGAGATATGCTACCATGCCACTCCAAGCAGCAGAAATACACTTATGGGAGGTGTCAGGGCAGTAGTAGTGATGTCTGACAGCAGCAGTGTTGACAGTTCTGGCCCTACCTTTTGGTCTCAGCACGTGGTAGCAGCAGCTCTCCACCTGCATCAGGCCATCACAAGGGCTAAGCAATTCCTCAAGTTTCCAGAGAGGTTGTGGGACAGATAAGCAGGAGAGCCAGATGTGACCAGTTATAAGTTCTGGTACTTTCTGACTTTGAAGAATTGACTTAATACCATTATTCTAATATAGTTATGTGTGGATGGAGATGTATTTATGTGTGTGTGTATCCATGTATGCAAGCACATACCTTAACTGGTTTTTAATTCATTAATATATGTTCATATATTTGTCTCCAGGACAGGTACACATATACCTGCACATACGCACATACCTCTGTGTTTGTACACACAGCATTTACAAACATACATCATGCAGAATATGAACAGATTTTCAATGTACATAACATTTGCCAAGCAAAGCAATGCTAAAACCATAAAACAGCGACTCCATGTCTGCAACAGCTTTTTAGCTTTTGATATTATCGCCCCGGGGCGCTGTATTTCAAGGTGTTACCTACTTTTCTCAGCTCTGATGACAGGTGCTTGTTAGTTTTAATGTTCAAACAATAGTTTTTCACTTTGCTTAAGCTTAGGAAAGAGTTAATTGACTAAAGCTCTTCTCAGCAGCAGGTTGTCTTCACCTGCAATTTCCGTCATCAAGTAATTAGCCATATTCACAGTTGCTGACCCTTAATACTAACCTACTGAATGATGCATGCCTGGATGAAGACCAGTTGACCATATTACTCAAGCTCCCCAATCCTATTTGATCCTGCAGCAAATTTTTGGTAGGTGTGGGGTCTGGGAGAGCTGGACTCAGTGAGCTGATTTCTCACTGCCTCTTCAAGAACGACTATAGATTCTGTATGTGTTGCTTGCAAGACTGTTGGACTTGTTCTTTAGGCACTAAATCCTTAGCAGGTTTCACAGAACTGTGTGAAAACCTTTTCTGTTGTATTTTACAATATTGTATTTAATTTAATAGCAATACAGTGCCAGTCAATGAAAACAGGTCAAAAGTCTAATGTTTTAAAAATAAAGGTTCTCAAACACCAGGCGAGTTTATAATTTTCTGTGTGGTTTGTTTTGTGGAGGAAGAGGAAAGAAGGTGAGGAGGGAACCCTTCTGTTCCGTGATTACATCCCACCCGCTCATTTTCTCCTTTTCTCCTTTGCTTTTGATTTTAGTGGCGGTTTTAACAGAATGTCAAGATCAATTTGCAGCATGGTTTAACTCAAGGTTTGCATTCTGCCAGCAGCGATTGTCCTAACGAACAATGCCCTGTGTTCTTGTAACTTCAGAAGCTTTTAGAAAGCTCATGGCAAGGGCAGCATCTAATGACTTTATTAGTGTAGGGTTTCAAAATGGGCTCAGTAATTGTTCACATCTCTTTGTCATCTAGTCATAATTACTGCATAGTATTGTTCAGGGTTGCACTTGTGAATAGTTTCCTAATAGCACTGAAATGAAGAAAAAAGGAAAAGGACAAAAGGTGATTGTCTCTTTAGATGGAGAACAAAAC